CAGTTGGATGTATCAATCTCATTCTTGCGTAAAACGACCACGCATACACGGAAGATTAACTACTATAGAAATCAAGTCATTTTGAATAAGTTAAGTACCTCAAAAATTGAAACAAGACTTAATGTGTCACGGCGACAAAAAACGTGTCACAGCGTTACGTTGTCTTTTTTCATTTTTTGAGCGAATGATAGCGTTTAGAAGAAAAAAATTTTTATCATTCGGAAGCTCATTTCGTGCTCTATAATATTGATTCCAGGTCCATTTCATTTGGAGATTGCCTTTCGCAGGAAATTGAAAGCTGAGCTCGAGTACTGGAAATTGAGGGTCCTTTTTCGTCACAGTGTTACGCGACTTTAAACCATTTCTGTACACTAAATAGTTCAATGGAGAAACATCAATTTTTTACTGTAAATAGAACTCAACGAGCTGCGTCGAATGACGTTTGAACGAACTTTCTAGCTATTATAGTTTTTGAGATGTTTGAAAAAATGTGTGTCAACAATGTCACAGCGTTACGTTTGGACAAGCCGATATAATGCTTTATTCTTTCAAATGAATCAAAAACTTACAGTAAAAGAGAAGTGTTGCTTAAAAGAACAACAAACAGATAGAATAAGAAGAAATAGAACTATTCATGACCGAAGAAAATTTTTCTATTCTGATTTTTTTAAATAAATTCAGAACAAATTCTGTTCAGATCAAGCAGATCTAATTTTTCTTTGTGTATATAAGGAATAATAACATGATTTAACCGTTGTTGAGTCATTGTACAACGTAGATGTGTTTTATTCGATTTAGTGCACTAAATGAACATTCAGCAGTGGCTGTTGTTGTTAAAATTGTCAAATATAACAATAATAATTTACGATATTCACAAAATAAAGTTTTTCCAACTGGTTCTGTATTTAGAAGTTCACATATGGTGCTAATTTTTGTAATTCTTTTTAAATTAAGATTTTTTTCTTTGTTAACGGTTGCAAAATAATCAGGCAACATCGTTAATTCACGTTCTAATCGTTCAACATTAACATCATCAACTAAAAACTCCTTAATATCATCCAAACTTTTATTATCATCTTCTTTTGTACTATTAGCCGTTGATAATATAGATTTTTCAACTTTGCATAGTACAGGAAATACTGATTGTTTAAAACGTTAATCAAGTGCATTATTAATTATATTAATAACTTCAAAATATTGATGATGATAAAAATCATATATTGTTTCAAAACGTATTGGTGTTGGTAAATAATCAGTAAATCTTGAAGGTGGTTTTCGAGGACGTGATAATGATGGTTCATCTGTTAATGACTTAGCTTCAGCTTGAATACCTTGAAAAAAAATTATAAAATATTCATCAGTTTTAATTCTAAACAAGTATTTCATTAAAGCTTCAATTGAACATAAAATATCTTGTAGATTATTTTCCACACGTTGTAAAGAACAAGACACTTCCTCGGTGGCGGAAAAGATTAAATGAACTAAAAATATAAACAATGAAAATGTGAGTAAAGGTCAGTTTCGTTTAAAAAAAAAAACTTTCTTCTGGAGAAGAGCTTTGGACAGTCGAAAGGTGTTCAAAGAACGGTCAGGTTTCTGGGCTTATCACTTTTAAATTTCTAGTTTTTTAGTTTTTCAATTATTTGAGAAAGAAACTATCATTGATGAAGTCTAATATGGACCTCAAGAATATAAATATAGCTCGATATACTAGCCTAGTTTTAGTCCGAAATAAGTTGAAAATTTATCCACTTGTTCTGTTAGTCCATTAGCTTTTGGTGCTGGATGTCCACCTTCTTCACTAATTTCTGTTAATGCTGTTTTTACTAATGAATAATTGATCAATAATGAATTTATTGACGATGCACGCACCGTCCAACGATGCGGACAAAGTGGTTTTGGTTGAGTATAACGATTTCAATTTGTTAATGTATCTAATAAACTCAATCTCTTTGGAGAATCTTTCATGAAATTGATAATGTCATTTGTTATATTTAAAACAGTAGAAACACTTGATGATGTACAAGTTAAATCTTGTAATGCAAGATCTAAAGAGTGCGCATTACACTGAACGAAAAACGCTTTGCTACATAAACTTTGAATTCTGGCTGCTACACCAGATAAATGACCAGCCATAGATGGAGCACTATCATACCCTTTTCCTCTACAATCTTTTATATCCAAGTTACATCGATATAAAATATCAAGAATAACTTCAGTTATATCTGCTGCACTTTGTAATGCGATCATGTACATTCCAAGTACATCTTCATATATGATAAACTCATTATCAACAGATTTAATCGTAAAACATAATTGTACTCTACCAAATTCATCACTAGTTTCATCACATATTATGCTATAGATTTTAGGTTCAGAAATCTAAACAACACGTAGAGAAACAGATGGAATCAACAGTTTTCAAAAAAAAAAGAATTTTTACTTCTTTAATCAATTCACGAATAATTGATAAGGAAATGATTTGACAAATCTTATTTATAATATGATGTGATAAATAATTTTTTTCTTTTATCCATTGAGAAAGACCATCAACATCAGATGCACGTAATTTTAACAACTGTATTAAATTTTCTTCATCTTCAACATGCCCACGAATAGCTAGACCTTGTCTCAATAGGTATTTGATGCATTGAATTTCTATAAAAAGTATACGTCGCCGTTTTGCTTTTTGAATTTGATGTGTAAGGTTTAGTTGAACAGCAAATGTTGGTTTCTGTTGATGTTTAACTAAATATACACAATCAGAATGTATTTTGCTAGATTCATGTTTTGTTAGACAGCTATAGCATTTTTCCAATCGGAAAAGCCTGTAAATGCTAACATAGCATCACCACTTTTATTCGGTTCCGGATGAAAATCACCAAAATAAGCTGTACGACAATAATAACAATAAACTTTATTTTCGCTCTAAAAAAAACAAGAAAGAAATGAAAGGTGTTTATAAAATGAACAAGTTTCTAAAATTTTGTTTTTATTTCTTACTTTACAATAAGTAAGCCATTGATATTTTAACAATCAACCTAATTGACAACTTCGTTTATTACCCGATAATTTAAAATCTGATTGATTTTGAGGAACATATAAATGATCAGATGTACAACAAGTAGCTTCACATTTTTATTTTGTTGTTGAGGAAGCTAATGTTGATGATGGGGAAGTTAGTGAAGCCGATGTTGATGATAGTGAAGTTGGTAAAGATGATGTTGATGATGGTGAAGTTAGTGAAGCTAATGCGGATGAAGGTGAAGTTAGTGAAGCTACTATTGATGAAGGTGATGTAAATGGAGATGATGTTAATGAAGCTAATGTTGAGATTTTTGATGGTTCTAGCGATGATATCTCTGCGCACAGTCCTGTTTCACCTTGAATCTCATATAAATTGATCGATAAAATATCAACAGAAGCAGAATTTCCATCAAAATCCTTATTTGTCTTTTGTTTTTTATTTTGAGAAAAAAAAGACGTAATCTGACTCTGTTTAGCCGACATTGGTACACAGAAAGAGTACTGTTTTTTAATTACTTAAAATTCAAAACTTATTTTCAATAGAAGTTGAGAACAACAGTTTAATTATCTTATATTATATTGCAAATAAAGAATTCGACGTAGATATAGACGTCAACGAAAACCAATCAGTATGCTACTGGACACGAGTTTGTAATAGATAAAATATGGACTGACCTTGTAGTAATGCGTCATTTGTCAGAAGAACACGAAAATTAACTAATGTTAGAAAATTTTTACATTAAAACGAGCCTAGTCAAGCCTTTATCTGTATTGGTTCGAGCCTGCCCAAGTCTTTATCTGAGCCTACCCAAGCCTTTACCTGAGCATACCCAAGCCTTTACCTCTCCAACCTAGGGTAGGCTCGTGCCTACCCAGGCCTCGTGGCTCCGCCGTCTATGATTCATCCCCAAATTCTATTGGTTGAGAGTAGCCAATAGAAATCAAGTATTTTATAGAAAAGGTTTGACAGGATAATTTTGATGTCCACACATTTTAGGATGATTCATCTGTCTCATTCACTTTTTGAAGTATACATAACTTTCGGATTTAAATCCGAGGTTTTCGCATTTATTTTATTTATTGTCTTGCCGACACTTTGCTGTGAACTTAACATGAGCTCAAACGGCGAGTCACACTACATTCAGTTTCTTCGTTAGACATTTTCTATTTTATATATTCTCTAATTATGGAAAATATTTCAACTCGAAATTTTCTTATCACCTGAAAAGATTTCCTCGTTATCAGAGATTCATAAACCATGTTTGACACATCTTTTCTATACAGTAAGGAAAATTCTATGTATTATATATTGTCCTTTTAAATATATAGACATTCTAATGTTTTTTATAAATTGACGCTACTAAAGATGCGCTTGACCAAGTTCTTCTGTCTCAATTCCCATAACTTTTGCTTAAGTGGTTTCGGTTATAGTCTCAGTAAAATTTAATCTGGTTTCGACTCCAGTTCTAGTGATTTTAATTTTTTTCGATCGTTCTATAGATTATTCAATCCTTTTCCCTTCTTTATTTATTTATTTCGTCGACCACTTACACTTATTTGCATCATTTCTCTTAAATTATGCTTTTGATTACAGTATGACCTCTCTATGGTGGACACCCAAGGAACTTTTTCAAAGTATTCACTATACGGAGGTGTCCACTTAACAGGGGGTCCATGAGACTATCGAGCATTCACATAACATGCTCAAATCCGAAATTTGACCATGGATATGTGTATTCGATAGCCCTTGTTGAGAAATCTCTAAAAACAAATTTTTATGAAAAAAGAACGTATTTTCACTGAGATATGACATTTTCACGAAAAAAATTAAAATCACTAGAACTGGAGTCGAAACC